CTTCAGTAACTCAGATGCGTGTTCAAACGGCTACCTCAGCCACCCTGGTTTGCTCTATGGGATTCCTTTGATATTCCTGTAAGATTTCTATGATATTGCTCTACCTTTTACCCTGTTTCCGCCCTACCCCCTGTAATCAATAAAGTTCTCCTTTGTGACCGGTGTGGAAACTTATTGAGGGGTGGGTCTAAATTATGCCAAGGAGGCCCCTTAGGTCTGTGGACTAAGGGAGGCTTCCTAATCAGCCCCTGACTTGGGGAAGTGCCCCAAGTGCTTGTATTGGGTCTAGTACCCATTGGACGATCAGGCCTGTGTTTTCCAAGGTGCGCAGAGCTAGAAGTGAGTCCAGAGCCTTGGATGGTGGCAGCGGGAACCCCAGGCTAGCGGGTGTGCTCCAGGGAAGGGGTTGGCCAGGCACTCGGAGCCTGGAAGGTGGTCGGGTGCAGGGAGGTGGGCGGCTCAACGCAAGAGCGCCCCCTACTGGCCCACCACACGGACCATCTCAGACTCCATAACCTGGGAAAAGCTAGGAGACCAAAAATTAGTGTAACTGAATACACACTGACCAGGAAACACTTTTAGAAAGACCACAGGCAGCTAGATCTGAACAGTATTTAAAAGAAAGAGAAAAAAAAAAGTAGTTATTAAGTAGCTGAATTTGAGATCCAACATACAGCTGGTGGGGGGGAGAGGGGAATGCATGGAGGAAAATAAGGGGGGAAATTTATTAGAACAGAATCCTATCTAGGCGAATTTAAATGATCCAACTAGCTACGGACCGTAAACAGCAACTCAATATGCACTACTGCTTAATACTTAATACTTCTGTGCAAGAATTATCATGAAAAGGCCTATGAGAAGGATCTTTGCCTAATGGTCTGCAAGAGGGGAGACCTTTGTTTTATTTTACAAAATTTACCACTGCTTTTTCTCAGGATTGCAAGGTATTAAGCACCTTTAAACAAGACACATTTTAGCCTTCTCTCAAGAAACTGGTTCAAAGACCTCTGACACGTCAAGGAATGCTGCTGAGACCCAGAATAGCAACACTGTGGATGCCTATGTCCTTTTCCACCTGCCTATAAGAACAGCTGAAACTCTCTTGTGAGAGAGACAGGTCACCCCAGGTCTTTCAGCAACATTTGATACCGACCATCTCCACCTACCCCAAACCTCATGCTGTGGCCCCTGCCTCAGATAAAAAGAAATGAATCACTCAATACCGATTTTCTCCAAACACTGTCCAACAACTACATGACTTTATGGGGAGATTATGAGACTATTCAGAAAAAAATATAACCAGTACGCAATAAAAATCTCTACATCTATTTTTGTCAGGCATACATGTTGCTGTCTTTCCAATGTCTAGCCAAAAGTGGGAATTTGAAGAAAGGAAGGTTTTCAGAACTATGGAAAGAAGATCCGAGTAACAGGATGACATAAAAGTGCTCAGAGGAAGATGGTTGCGATTTCTGCCTATGTCACTAATGGTGCTTTCTGGCTCATTTACCAATTTGCATTACTTCCCAAATTGATTCTGAATTTCCAGGCAAATGTCCACATCTTTGTCAACCGGGTCCTGTTTAGGATTTATCCATTCTTTTTTCTTTTTTCCTCATTGCAGTAATTTATAGATTTATGAGTTCTAGGGTAGATTAAGTCACTGTATTTTATGCAGGCCAACACTTAACAGCATTAACAGAAACAGAAGCAATGCAATACTTGCTTTTCCCTGAGGTTAGGTAGCAGCAACTGATGAGAAAAAACAGCACCAGTTTTTCAATAGCTCTGTCAGCTGCCTATTCATTTCTGGGTTTAATTAAATGCATGGACTTAGGTCAAATTACTCTACAGGAATGGGAGCACTAAAAATAGCTGTGTGGCCTGGGTATTATTAATGGATAGAGATCTCCAGAGCCTCACAATGGACTATTATAATTTGGGCTAGCTGGGGATTTCTCAGTCTAGGGCCCAAGATTCTCTAATTAAACCAAAGTAACTTACTACCCACATTGCAGAACCTCTCTCAAACATTTGTTTAAAGGATGGAGGGAGGGTAAGAGAGTCAGCACAAAATAGCTTAATTGCTTGTAAGTGTACTCTTCTGTTTTTTTATTTCTTCTCAGAAGACAATTGCTAAATTAGTGCATGTATGTGTCCTGTGCCACATGGAAAGTGAGAACTAGAACACAGAAGAACCAACAAAGTGGGAAATGCCAAAGGATTATGTTCACTTGTACACTAATATACAATATTATACTAATATCTAGACCAAAGTTTCAAGACATTTAGCTCGGTGGACATGTAGCTTCTCTACTCTCAAATGTGATAAGTAGCAATGCAATTTTTTATAGAGTGTATACAAGTGTAATTATATTAAACAATTACTTTACTCACACGATTTATTTGGCTATTATGGTAGTATTGAGTCTTGTATATTTTAATTAGAAATTTAATTTCAAAGTTCTCCTTCTGAGATCCCACCTAGTAAGCCAATTAAAATCCCCCCTCCCCCACCCCGCCCCCAAAAAAGAGGTATGAATGCTCCATTAGCCATTTTGTTTTAACCAAACCTCCACCGGCAAGGCTTTTTCTACCCAGCATTAGACATCTGAAATTAAAACATCAGACACAAATATTTATATTAAAAATCTGTATTGTGTCAAATGAAATAATCAATTTGTGTACAAATTTGCATGACAAATATAAAACCATGTTGAATAACATGATGTACAAAGTGCTGGCTGCTGTTCTGATTTAATAACTCCATAAGCAACAGGCTCACATGGGGCATCATAAACACTGAGTCCTATTAAAGGGTTCAGTCAAGGCACATGTATTCCACTGATTATCAGAAAACCAGAATGAGGATCAACCTGCATAGTTCTAACTCTGCTTATGATGCCTGTGTCCTTAAATCCTGCAAGTTTTAAACATGCTACAAACCAGTTACTATTTCAATACAAATCACTGTCCGTGCAAAGCAAGAAAAAAGTTTTGTATCATCTTCCATTTAAAACTAGCCATTGATTTTAGAGCCATTATGTGTTTTTTTCTCTGATATTTTCCATAGTGTGGCTTACCTTGGTTTTTATCCAAAAGATACAGACAGTATTTACTGAATTAACAATTATAGCCCTAATTGTAAATTAGTAGCTACTGTAAAGTTATCCAACACTGTTCATGAAGTTAATTAAAAAAAAAAGTATTCTGGATAATTTTTCATTTAACTAATTTGTATGTTTTCCAGTAGCATAGCACACCACAGGTGGATTCGCAGTGGAACTTCACAAGGAAGAAGAAACCAGAAATTAATACAATTTTCTAAGTAGAGGATCTTAGGAAAGTTGGGTGGGAAGGGACTTCGTGAGGTCATCTAGTCCAGCCCCATGCTCAGGGCAGGATCATCCCTGACTGAACCATCCCAGCCAAGTAATCCAGGTGCACATTTAAAACATAAATTAATCATGAAAAAGACATTATTAGTTTCTGCAATTTCCTACATAAAAAATAAACTTAAGCTTATTATTTCCCATGGCACCCTAGGAAAATGTGTAGAAAGAGAGAAACAAGTTACCAAAGAAAGGCCTGGGGGCTTGGTACTTTGCCATACTGGCTGCTGCTCTCAGTAAATCCTTTGTAAGTGAACCTTAACACCTTTGCTTTCCAAATCTGAATGCAAATCACAACACACATCAAGCTAAGGCTACATATCTGATTCCAACCCTGTGAGATCAACGCAATTGACATGGCTAATCATTAAAGCAGTGGTAACAACACTGCATATTTTTGGATAAAGAAACACTTTTTTCTTTTTAAACACCAGTTTTTAGGCACTTATATTCCTGTGAAACTGTTTTGACTTATGTCACACTTGCTTATTCGTAACATATAACTGAATTGTAAAACATTTATTTTGGCCATTTCTGAGTTGCCTCAATGGAAGTAAAAAACATGTCAAGCGCAACTTCTGTATTTGGATGAACTCTTAAAGTTAAAAATAAAAATCAGAATTTTGACATAAAAGCAGCCCTCCAGAAGTCATATGTGATTTGTGACAGGACAAGCATGCTTAACAAGACCCAAGTTCCTAACCAATGTAAATGTTTACTGTGCAGAATTATATACCCACTGGCTTGTGTGGGTATGTAGGTACACACATACAATCATCCTCCTTAGGGACTGTCACTAAGCCCAATTAATCCTTTCCTTCCCTTGCATCTTCCCAACTGCTGTACAATGTGCTGGAAAGGTATCACCAGGGTCAGGACCTGTGGGACCCTGCTGGACCTTATCACTGCTCTCTATAATTCAAGGGACCATGCAATGCAGTCCCAAAGCATTAAAAAAAAAAAAATCTGACAGGACAACATTTGAGACTTTAGTCTAACAATAGCACCAACTTCCTTAAGAAACCAATGTAAAACCTAATGTAAAAATATGAGCCAGTGCAGTATCACAGATAAGACTTTAAACACGCAAGTCAAGAAATTCAGAGTTCTAGATCCTCAGAGGACCTGCAATTCTGTTCCCTTACACAAAATACTCTACGACAATACAATAAATGTTACGTGCAGTAAGAAAATGTTACTACTTCCGCAATGTTGCTAAGTCTGGCACATCAACTGTGTTCTTCCTGACCTGTTTAAAATCTAAACGACACTGCGTGCTGCATTAAATTTGACACTTACTTTAGGTAAGCATGCGCAAGGAGCTCACTACTACTTATGCATACTGGAAACATGCATGTAATCAGAACAAGACAATTCCAGCACAAACTCCTCTTGCCCGCAAGCCCAATTCTATGAGTCAGCTACACTCTGTAAACTTTACTTTTAATACTGATTTCAGTAAGCTTTGTGTATTGCATTACTGTTCTAGAAAGCAACAAACTCAGTTGTGCAAACCAACATAAAAAACTAAGTTAGAGCCTAAGTCCAAGTCAAACACTCTCTACATGATTCTGTTTCCAGTATACACAGATGCCAAAACATATGTTCAAAAGTGCAGGGACATTGTATTTTATATTTATCAGCATTTGCAACCAAGTTGGCAGTGACATTTTCTGGATCTAAGTCAGGGTGACAGGAAGGAAAAGTAAAACTACCATTGTCACAGGTTAAAAATTCCAAAATAGGGGGAAAGTTGTTCTAAACCAACAAAAAGGTAAAAGGCACCCCCCCCTCAACATTAAGTTTCCTATTAAAACACGGTCAGAAAAGGAGTACAAGCATGATGCTCAAAAGTGTAGTCACTGGACTGCTTTGGTTAACATGTTGCAGTTGACAGTTTGACAGTTTTTTCCCGCCTTCAGGTCACCAAATCTTTCTTCTTTCGAAATGGCGAAGTCAGTCTTTTCCATATGCTGCTTTTCGGTTTGGTTTTTTTTTCCATTGCCATGACTGCTTCCTTCTCTTTCCTACGGATTTCTCGCACAAGGGCATGAAATACATCATCAATATAATAGCGGAATGCAGCTGAAGTTTCAAAAAAAGGGCAGGTGAATTCTCGTGCTAAAGCTGAACCTTCTTCTTTGGACACCTTCAACAAAATACATATTAGTCAACAAAGGAAAAAAAAAAGTTTGCTTGTTTATTCTTTTCGACCGCTTCTATCTACAGCCCTCACTTTTAACCCTATGGATTTTTTCATGCAACTTCCTACTTTTGGAGACTTCCTACCCTCTTTCCATGCATCTCTGAAATATCTTCCTGAAATCCACTATTTCTCCTATTCACCTAATTCTCTGAACATTCGTATTTTAGTCTATGTCCATATACATATACAATGTCAATCTTCTTGAGGTAGAGAGTTTGGTCCTTATCTGCATGTGCACGTCTCGCTTTGTAATGAATAGAAAAGGTTTTCATAATACTAAACTGCAAGCAAAATCGTTCGTGTCAACTTCTAAAGAATAAACAAACAAACAAAAAAATCAGTGATCATTTTTGTTGCTTTTCCTTAAACTCCATTCAATTCTTTTTGAAGCCATGCGAAGCAACTATTGACTCCCTGTGCCAGAACAATTCCTTGGACTGGGTATCCAATTACAGCCATTTTGTTGGCCTATCACATCAGAAAATCATCCGATTTCTTTTGCAGCATGATTTCTTTTGCACCATCATCTTTTGATCTGTTTTTGGATTGCTGTTTCCAGATTTTTCCATGCCCCTGCCTACCCCACAAATGAATCCACACTTTAGACTGCTTTTTCCTAGATGGACTAGGGGATGTTCTTTGGAGTGTATTCTCATTTATTTTCTACTTAAGACTGGTCTCTACATTCTCCTGTATTATTCTCAATCACTCATAACTGTGCCCACTATCTTTACTATTTGCAGATTGTGTTCACTTGCTGTTTCACCTGCAGTAAAGATTTGCTCTTTCAGGACTAAGTGAAAGGGAAAACTTAA